TAAATACTTTAATATTTTAAAAAAGTAGATCAGAGCCAAAAAAATACAATTATGCAGGCAAATTTGTCTGCAAAAGTTTACAATCTAAGAGATATAAAATTTCTAATCACTATTAATATTAAGAGCTTTGTCTAATGCTAAAAATCAATTAGCATATAACTCATGCATATGATAGTATCTCATATAGTTTTAAAAAAAATCTGTAAAGTATTAATAAATTAAAATAAAAGCATTAGTAAAAGAATATTATTTTCTTATGTTTTATAAATAAAAACCTGCATGATATAGTAGCAAAATAATTTCGTTTCTCATAATAATTGCTATAATTTTTACATAAAATATTAGATTATTAATTATAAATTAAAAACAGTAGATTTCTGTAAAATTATTTGAAATTTAGCTTGCTTGTCATTTTACTTATAAATAATGATCTTTTTATAGTTATGTTTAATATTTAGCTACAACAAAAATTTACTTGATAGTTATTATGAAAGAAACAAATATGCAAAATAGTAAATTTTTTAGTTTTCAACCTTTTGAAACTTTGAATTCTTCAACAAAATGTAAGGACAGAACAGAAAAAAGTAAGAGGAGTAGATCAAAGATGCCAATTTGGAATGATTATAGTAAAGATGAAGATGATGGGCATAGGCATTTTGAAGCAAATTGTTATTATTGCGATAAGAGAAAATGGCAGCATAGCAAACCTTCTATTATGGAAGCTTATTTAGCACTTTATTGCAAAGGACTAGTTCCAGATAATATTAGAAACAAATAGTTAATTAAAGTTGCTAAAAGAAGCAAAAAAGCAAATAATGATAAGGATGATGAAATTTTTTTAAAAAAAGTCAAAACTGCCAATTAATCAATTACTATATATTATTAATTTGTTATTCTATTATCTTTTCAACAATTCACAGATTTTACAAAAACATTATTTAAAGCTTTTGTATACTGCAGAATTCCTTTTGCAGTTATTAATAATCCTTAATTTTGAGATTTATTAAATCTTTTGCAATCTGGCTATACTTTACCACATAATGATACTCTTTTAGGACCAGTACTTGATGGAGAAATTGCATAAGTTATTGTAAAAATAAAAGCTGAACTACAAAAAACTGATAATTTAACTCTAAGTATGTATAATTTAATTAAATTTTAATTATATAATAATTATTAAATATATATTACTTTATTTTATTTATAGTGCTTAATAGTTGGACTTCTTCAAAAGGTGATTCTCTTTATAACTATATTATTGTAACTTTAAACTATCATAAATATCTTTATGCTATAACTGATTATTCAGGAAAGCATCAAACAGGAAATTTTACTGCAAATAAAATTTCAAATATTATTGAAAAAATTGGTTCACATCGTTTTGCAGTAATTGTAACAGATAATGGGCCTAATGTACATATTGTACAAGAAACTATTTACCAAAATTATTCTTACATATTAAATATCTGTTGCATTGCTTATGTATTAAAATCTGATAGCAGCTGATCTTGTAAAAACAACACCAATTAAAGAAATTTTAAAACAAGCCAATATGCTAGTTTTATTTTTTCAAAAGTCTTATATAGCAAGCTAAGTTCTGCATAATACAATTGCATTAATGAATATAAAAGAAGGATCATTAGAAACATATAATGATACATACTGAGTATCTATTTATAACACAACTAGTTCTATTGTATATGTTAAACCTGCTATTGATAAAGTTAGTATATTATACAATATATTGTATAGTCAAAGTTTTTAAGCAGTTAGCATTCAAAATAATATATTAATTTTTTTTTTTTAGCTTTTTAAAGAACAAGCAAATATATTTACAAACCAAGAAGTATATAAAATTTTATGTAATATAGATGATATTTTTTATATTTTGTGCAAAAGAATTGCTTTAGTTTTTGAACCAATTAAGTATATGATCAATATGCTTAAAAGTCATATAGTGAACTTGGCTAATTGTTTTATAAAAATAGTACAAATTGCTGCTACTCTTATGAGAATACCTGCTAGTAATAATTTTTGCACTTTGGCTATTATTGCATTTAATTTTTATTATCAGCAATTTGATATTTTTTTATATTTTTTAACTTACTTTCTTCATCCAAATTACCATAGCTGTAGTCTAAAAAAAGGAACATTTCGTCATATTTGTAATTTGGCAGTTGATTATTACAAAAATTTACATTATAGTAAAAAAGAATACCATAAATTAGTAAATCAATTAATCAAATATAAAGCAAGAGTTGCACCTTGGGATCTTGAATATTCTTCTGACTTAACTCCCTCCTTATAGTGAGATGTTGTTGAAGATGAATATTCATATTTACAAGAACTAGCTCAAATTATGTTCTCTATTGTACCTTTACAAGCCAATTGTGAGCAAAATTTTTCTATTTTGAAATGGCTTTGTAAAGGATATTGCACATGGCTTTAAGTATTATGATTAGAGAGTATAGTCAAATTTACTTTTTTTTTAAAGTAGATAGGTTGTCAACCCCCAAGTGGCAGTTCTAGAGTTCAAATCCCAGTGATGGTGAAAATTTGCAATTCTTTTTGTATTATGGTTAACTGTCTTCCATGATTAGTTAAGATAAGATACCTATAACCCATATTATATTAGCATGACTGGAAGGTCTAAGGCATTTATGCAATGTTGTATTAAGAAACACAAACTGGTACTGGGCAGTGTGAACTCAAGATAAGTTCTTAGATCGTGTAAATTATGGGAACCAGATAGGAAGATGGAAGCCCACTTGGAAGACTCGAGTAGAAAGATAACTCAAACTTTTGATAGTGCTACTGTAAAGACTAGACCTATGAAACAGAGCTAGAACTTGTAAAACTGGACAAAGAGCTAGCCTTTGAGAAGGAGCCGAATAGAACCAACCAGGCTGCCAGAATTTTCAGGTTTTGGAGGAAAAGATTACATGCTAGCAAACATATAAACCAAAGATGTATTGTTACAACCTGCCTTTTCAGGCTATCTGGTTTGGAAGCTTGGTAGAACTTGAATTAAATACCAAAGTAGTAGAAATATGTTGTAAAGTTAGTACCAGGATTGGAGTGAACTCTACAAGGACATAGCAGTTAAATGGTACATCCTAACTACCAGTATTGGTCTTGGCTATAGTGATACCAGGTCAGCTGTAAAAATGGGATACAGAAGATTCTGAAAGGTTTAGTACAAGGTCAAAGGTTCCCCATATGAGTAAACTGCTTTAAAGACTTAGTGATTATGGCATATTTGAACCAGTATCGACTGGGGCATCTTGGTAGGTGTAGGTAGGTAGGTAAGTATGAGAACAGAATAGTTAAATAGGGAACTTACAAGCAGGTTCCAGGTATGGCAGCTAGTGTAGAACCTTTAAGCAGACTACTTAAATTAGACAATAACTAAAGTTGTATAAGTAACTAGTTGTACACTCTTTCCATAGTTGCTCTTTGTAGTTGTAATACAACTATTAGCTGAATGTACTATCAATAAAATCCTAGGTCACAAGTACTCACCTTAATATTTTTAAAAAATATATATATACTCTTTTTATGTATCAGATATTAAAAAAAAATTAAAATTTATAAAAATAGTTTTGTGAAGATGGAGTTATGTAATAGGGTATTAAATAAAATAGCCTTTTTAAAAATTGATTATCTTGATTTGAGTGAAAGTAAAAGTGAAACAGAAATTGTGAAACCTACAGAAAATAATATTATAATGGCTCTTCAGGATCTAGTAGATCTGTCAAATTAAATATTCAGAGTGATTAATAATTTAGAAAAAACTCCTCTGATAAAGAAGATATAAATATAGAATTCAAAAATAAGTCTTTGGTTCAGAATGTATATAGTAATTTAAGTGAATAATATTATAGCATTTTTATATTTAATATTTGTTTTTTAAATATAAACATTATAGTTTTTTTTTTTTTTTTTTTGTTATTCATATTTGATATCTTATTTTTTTTTTTGTTTTATAAGAATTATAATTTTAAATAATGTATTTACTTATGTCACTTAAGAATAACTTTAATAGTGATATAAATAAAAAAATAATATAAAGAAAAAGTTTCTTTGTGAAATAGTAATTTTACATATAATTGACTTTAAACATGTTTATTTTCTTTGTAATTTTTTGTAAGTTTTAGTAAATAAGGCCTTAGTAACTTCCTAAAATCAAATTTTTTGTAATACTGTGATCAATTCAAATAGTAAAATTGTTAAAACTCAACAAGTATTTTTTTATAGCTAATATTACTATTTCAGTTATCTTGATATATAAGAACAATTCTACTAATAATGCAGGTAAATTATCCTAATGAATTGTATAGCATTCAGCAAGTTACAGTTATAGGTTGTGATAACATCTATGATCTCAGTGTGTTATGATTACAATCAATTGTATAACCTTATTAAAAAGCCATTTTTGTGAAGTTAATAAGAAATTGTTCAGATTGTAACAAAACAATTTCTATAGAAGATTTAGAAAAAACTAAAAAGAAGTTCTTCTATATAGCTGAGCCTTGATCATAGAGAAATTTTTGCAGTAAATAAGCTATGATGCTGTAACTATAATTAATATAGACTTTATTAATTATTAACTATATATATATAATAAAAATTATAACTCAGAAATAAACTATGTAATTATTTATTGCATTCTACTGAACCTTCTGATATTGACTTTTGGTCTAATTTGTATTCTGCCAAAATAGAATTAGGAGAATATTCTAATTTATTTACATAATAGATATTCAACCAAAGAAGAAGGCAAGTCAAAATTATGCTGATCTAGAACCAGCTATGAAAATTTGTTTGCAGTATTACTAGTTATATCATAACAGTATATACAATTTTAGGATATGTACAATATGATTAATTTATTATCATTATATTTATTTATTATCGTTATATATATAATTTTATCTATATTTGAAATAAGTCCCAAACTGAATTCTTATATGTAAAAATTTAGGACTATTAGCTGTAATATTAGCTACATGTCAAAAATGTTGACATTATAACAAATTAAATATATTTTGCAAAATATAGTAAATACTATTTAGTTTCTACCTAATCACAAACTAATAAGTTTGGGTAGAATCACTAATTATCATTCTAGGCTATAAAGTCTATCCCAATAGTCTTCCAAAAAAGGACCTTTGGTCATTTACAATTAATAAACTCAAAAGTTTTTTCAAAAAGCTGGCAAGCAAAAATCTTTTATTTAAAGGCAAAATCCTTTTAGCAAACTTCTTAATTTTGTCTCAAATCTGATATATAGCATATCTACTTCTTCTAAACAAAAAGCATATTGCAAAAATTAATAGCATAATATCTCTATGAATTAAAAATAGATTCAAAATGCTTCCAAGATTTGTGATATTTTAACAAGCATACAATGCTGTAGAACTGCAAACTCCAATAAAAGAAAAAATGCTTGAAACATAACTACTTTCTATATGGCTAAAGCTACTCTCAAAAAACTACTTCTGAACTAGACTGAAAAAAAAGAAAATAAGTGATATATTAGAACTTAAAAGAAACATATTAGCATATACTGCCTTAAATACTGAAGTAATCAAAACTAAAGCTTGGCTCAAAAAATGAAAACCTTATTTACTTGCTTAGAAAAAAACTCAGAGCAAAATAAACACTAACTGCAATTAGTTATAAAGCAAAGAAGATCTATGTCTAGAAGACTTCAAAGCAAATGAATTCTTAGTCAAAAAAATTTTTAACTTTTAGAAAACTTCATGCTTATCTAAC